CAGTTAAAATCTCTTGCGCGGAAATTACAGAGAGAAGAAGTGAGTAACCTCCCTGACACGTGATTAACTGCGAAAAGGTCGCGTCGAATTAGACGTGCGAGAGTAGGTCCGTATATCTCTCTCTCTCTCTCTTACGGCAAAACATCGCGCGCGGTAAATGCGCGACTGAGCATTGCGTCATTCGAAAAAGCTCTCGGCCTTTTTCTTTATGGAATGTGTATCGACTGTTAAGTAAATAAAAGGTGTCTATAGTTGATCGGCTGCCTTGTTTATTGACGCGGGCAGAAGCCCACGTGCCTCCACTGCCCAGCCACCCGAACCCACCGACTTCCCCGCGTGAGCAGTGTGCCGAACGCGCATTCGCCAAGCAGCCGGGAGGTAAGTCTTCCCCCGACGAAGCGGCGGTTAGCTTCGCAACGTGGAAGCGACGGTGAATGATCTTTGTTAACGGATACAGATTTATTTTCTCGGATAAATCACAACCGTTACAATAGTTTTTGAGTAAAAACATCTAATTCTTTGTTCATTGAAGGAATTATACATGTAGTTCAAAGATTATTATCTAGATGTATCTGCTGGATTTTCAACTTTTGCAAAACATAGACCTAAATATTGTCTACTAGCGGGAAGTAGTGGGACTCATTCAATTTGTGTTTGCTCAATCCATCAAAATGTGAAGTTAATGATGTCAGGTATTTATTTTGTAATTGTAACGATATAATCATAAATATAACCCGATTTTAACTTAAGCATATATAATTTATTTTAGGTTCTTCATTACCGTCAATAAAAAAAGGTTATGATTTTGAGTTTGAAGATTACAAAGACGTTTTGAAATTTATTATTTGTGCCAATGATTCTAACATTCCAGCCGCTAAATGCTATTTGGGTAAATGTGGGAATTGTCCTCAAATTGAAAAATTAAGAGACTATTTGTCAACGATAATTTTGGAATTAGATGTCAATGAAATAAATTATTCGCAATGGGTCTCAACTCCAATAATCACATCAAAAAATATCACTGATGATGCCAGTGACTTTATCACTATTTTTTGCGAAAAAACTAAGCACCTCTTGTCCCATGCATATATTTCGAGAGAGCAGTCTGAATATTTTAAAGACCTTAAAAATAAATTGCTGGATGATGAGATAATTATTAATTTAGATTTCTCCGAAAACTACGCATTTGTTGTGCAGAATGCCCTGCCAGGATTTCATTGGAATAATGATCAAACCACTGTTTTTGTTGCCTTTATTTATTTTAAAATTCAAGGTGAATTAAAAAAAAGGATTTATTGTTATTTAAGAAAATTAGACACATGATACTGTAGCTATTTATACATATCAGCAATTTTTGCTAAAGTATGTAAATAACAACTTCTCAATCAAAAACATACATTACTTTAATGATGGTACTCCACAACAGTTTAAAAATTATAAAAATTTTTTTAATTTATATTATCATTTTGACGATTTGAAAATTAAAGTCGTATGGAATTTCTTTCCTACAGCTCATGGGAAAGATGCTTGTGATGGCATTGGAGGCCATGGAAAGCCAATTTAATATTACCACTTGAATTGAAAAATCAATTTTAACTCCAAATGCGTTGTATGATTGGTTGAAACTCAAAAGTAATTTTCGTAATGTAGACTTTGAATTTTCGCCCATTAGTCATTATAATAAAAATTTAAGTAAGTTAAAAAAGAGGTTTAATAATAAAAGTCGAGTTGCAAATTTGCAAAGGCAATATAATTTTATTCCAACAAAAAGTGGAATAATAAAACATAACATTTTTTCAAACAGCGAACAATATGAGGAAACAAAAATTATTGATAAACTATAATTACTTTTATATTTTCATTATATTAAAATAAATAGAATATACAAAAATTTCATTCGTAATTATAATTTTTTCAATTCTTTGTATTAACCCATTAACTCTTACAGGACGGATTTTCAATTGCTGAGTTTCGATTATTACTACGTAATGAATTTGAACAGAAAAAAATTTGAAACATACTGTTCCCGACGTATTTAGCGACACTCTTTACAATGGTGACATTTAAAAAAAATTGTGTTTTGGCTGCCATATTGTTTAATAAAACAATTTTCATATCAAACGAAACACATTTATTAATAACAAACGAAACAAAAAGCCACTTTCGAAAAAAATTTAATCGCAAAATCACGTTTAACTTAGTTATTTTGGATTTTTTTATTCCAAACTGTTGTAGTAGTTAGCTTTATTTATGTATATAGGCACTTATATACGAGGTGTGATCAAAAAGTAAGGTGAATTTTGAAATTTAGCGGGCTACGTCCGTTCGATCTTCGACTTTTTTATTTGGTTATGTCGGTACACTCGTCTAGAACATACGTTCCAAATTTCAGCTTTGTAGTATGTTTGGTTTGTTTGTGAGAGGCATCAAGGTTAGAAGTGTTTTGCGTGCTCCACGATTTGCTGCTGTCTAAAAACAACACATTAAATTTTGTGTGAAAAATGGAATCAAATGTTCCAAAACACTTGAAATGCTGAAAGTAGCATACGGTGAGTCTACTTTAAGCAAAAAAATGTTTACAAGTGGTATAAACTCTTCCAAGAAGGCCGAGAAGATACCGACGACGAACCTCGTTCTGGACGCCCCAGCACATCAACAACAGATGAGAATGTTGAAAAAGTGAAGAAAATAGTGTTGGGAAATCGTCGAATTACCATTAGAGAAATTTCTGATGATATTGGCATCTCATTTGGTTCGTGCCAATCAATTTTGACGAGTGTTTTAGATATGAGACGTGTGTCAGAGAAGTTTGTTCCGAAATTGCTCAATTTCGACCAAAAGAAACGTCGCATGAGCATCGCCCAAGAGCTACTGAATGACGTCAACGATCATCCAGATTTACTCAACAGGGTTATAACAGGTGACGAAACATGGGTATAGGGTTATGACGTCGAGACTAAGACTCAATCGTCGCAGTGGAGGCATTCTGGATCACCAAGACCAAAAGAAGCACGCCAAGTTCGATCAAATGTAAAGGTTTTGCTTACAGTTTTCTTTGACTGCAGGGGCGTGGTGCATCATGAGTTCTTGCCACAGGGTAGAATAGTAAATAAGGAATATTACCTGCAAGTTATGCGCAATTTGCGCGAAGTAATCCGCCAGAAACGTCCGAATTTGTGGAAAAATAAAAATTGGCTTTTGCACCATGATAACGCCCCTGCTCACACATCGTTGCTTGTGCGCGAATTTTTGGCTAAAACCAACACAGTAACGATGCCACAGGCACCGTATTCCCCAGATCTGGCCCCCTGTGACTTCTTCTTGTTCCTAAAACTGAAGAGGCCCATGAAAGGACGGCGTTTTGCCACGATTGAGGAGATAAAGACGGCATCGAAGGATGAACTAAACAAGATCACAAAAAATGATTTTTTGAAATGCTTTGAGGATTGGAAAAAGCGTTGGCACAAGTGCATTATATCCGAGGGGGATTACTTTGAAGGAGATAAAATAAAAACTGATGAATAAATAAATATTTTTTGAGAAAAATAAAAATTCACCTTACTTTTTGATCACACCTCGTATATTGTAACAGGCTGCCGTTTAACCTGTAATTCCTCTTGAACGTATCTATCAGTTCGGTCAAACGACGCCGTGTTAGCTACGTGCTGTGAGCACGTTAACTCACCTTGTCCGGGAGTGCGCCTGCGCAGAGTTCCCTTGCCAATCGGAGTTGGGTTCCCTAACTCTCCGCTTGGGGCCGCTGACGTACTAGCTTAACAGCGCTCCGTCGGCCGCTGCTGGTAACTCGGATGGCAGGTCGCTTCTTACGATATCTACGCGATCCGTGCTATTTTACCGGCTTATTCGAATCGGACATAAACAATAACATGCACCTCGGACAAAGGGAAGACAAAACAATACCTTAGTAAGAATAACCACTGACCACTTTATTGAATTTAATCCAATACACGGGAGGGATTTGCCGAGAGACTGACGCACGCTAATTCACCCGACAATATAATCGTGGGGAGAGAGAGAAAGAAAATCGCGATCGCCGCGAACTAACCGCTCGCACGCCCTTGACAATATCACCGTATTCGCTGTACGGGATCGCACGCTAACGACAAATAACGATATGGTGCACCTACCGCGAAGTGTTGGGGATACGGTGGCCAACTGTACCCGACTCGCTCGTTGCTGTTGACGCCTCTGCGCCTATTTCCCCGCTGCCGCGGTTGGGTGACTCACTGCTGCTTATGCTGCTGCGGTCACTCGATGCGCTGCAGGAGGTGTTGCAGAGGCTGCTACGCTGAGCCGCTTCGTAACCTACGCGAGTCAAACGATTTTCGGCAATCGTTGCAATATGTAGATAATTAAGGGATACAAGATTATTGAATGAGCTCTTTATTTACACTTAAATATAAATAGACTGAAGGAACATTGCGCACACTGCTATGTCACAATCGAACAAAAAGGGAAACTCTTAAAAGGCCCTCTCAGAACCAAAACGTTGCTTTCGCAAAGAGCGCTAAACTGAGTGTGCGAGAGAGTATTTCATTCTCTCGCTTTCGAGCCGCGCCAAAACCGAGCTGCTGGAAGGTGGCGCCTCTAGTGGTGGTCACGACGTACACTCTCACTCCCTCCCATCGTGAGCCTTACTCTGAATCTCTTCGTTAGGGGATTCTGTAAAATAGATACATATAAAATTTTATTAACTTATTTATGTAGACTTTGAATTAATTATTTTGTCTCTTAAGGATATGTGTTGTGGTGCTGGTAGAGGTTTCGTCATAATGTCAGCTATGTTCTCTTTACTTTCTACCCATTTGATCACTATTCTGTTTTCTAAGGCACACTTGTTAACATAATCTCCGTGAGTTAGTGCCATGTGAATCTTGCTTCCGGTCTGTTCTCTTAATTTCTGGAACTTCATCATCAAAGTTTTTCAACTTGTGAGATCCATCCTTCTGAGTGCATTTTTCAGCTGAGTCGTTGTCACACTAGATGGTGGCTGGAAAGTATGTTTTTCCAGTCATGTCTCTTATGGCTTTGTCAAGTGATATTATTTCTTGACATGCTTCACTCATCGTCAGATATTCTGCTTGGCAGGTGGAAAATGATACATAATTTTGTTTGTAGCTTCTCCACGCTACTGTATTTCCATACAATTTGATTATGTATCCACCTGTGGAGGTAGAGTCTGTTTGATCTCTGAAGCTTGAATCTGTAAATGCCTCTAATTTGTCTCCTCCTCTTCTGTATACTAGCCCTACTTCTTTAGTTTTCTGCAGTAATCTAAAAATCCTTTTGACTTCTTTCCAGTCATTCTCTGTAGGTGCAGCTTGTTTTCTGGCCATAAAGTTTACAGTATAGGTAATATCTGGTCTTGTCATTGCTGACAAGTATTCCAAACTGCCTATCGTTTCTCTGTATGGTGCTATGCATGGTATCTCTCTTTCTTTGTGTCTTTCTGAATTAGATTCAATCTCTTTTCTTTTGGCTTGTCTGGTTATCATTGGAAAATTCTGTGCCTTGCAGTCCTTCATGTTAAATCTTTCTAATATCTTTTCTATATAATCTGTCTGAGTTAGGGTCATGGTTTTATTTAATCTATCTCTCTGAATTTTCATTCCTAAATACATGTTTGGTTCTCCCATGTTTGTCATCTGAAATGCATCACACAGTCTGGATTTTATTTCCTGCAGCTTTTCTTGATTATTACCTGCTAGGATTATGTCATCGACATAGAGTACAAGTATAATCATTTTTCTTTCCTTTCTCAACGTAAATAGGCATGCTTCATTGATGTCTCTCTCTAGACCTAATTTCTTAACTTCTTCAGTAAATTTATCGTTTCATTTCTTTGGACTGATTTTTAGTCCATACAGTGTTTCCTTAAGCTTGCAGATTTTTCTTTTCTTTAGTTCTTCTGGAATGTTCAATTCTTCTGGAATTTTCATGTAGATTTCTTCATCTAGTGTACTATTCAAGAAAGCCACTTTCACATCAAGTTGCACTGCATCTAAGTCTTCTTGATTTATTATGATAAGTGCAGATCTGATGATAGCTATGCGAGATACAGGTGCATAGGTTTCTCTTAATTCGTATTAATTCTTATCCTTAAAGCCTCTTATGACCAGTCTCGCTTTATGCTTAATTTTACCATCTGAAATTTTCTTTTTGTATATCCAATTTGAATCTATTAAGTTGAGTTTGGATACTTCTGAAGTTGAGGCAGGGGAATCAGTTATTTCCTATACTTCCTTTTCTATCATAGAGTTTAATTCTTCATTCATGGCTTGTATCCAATCTTCTTTTTCTGGTGAACTCAATGCTTCTTTAAAGCTTGACGGATCTTTGTATGTTTGCGCTAGACACACATCCGAGGTGTGATCAAAAAGTAAGGTGAATTTTTATTTTTCTCAAAAAATATGTATTTATTCATCAATTTTTATTTTATCTCCTTCAAAGTAATCCCCCTCGGATATAATGCACTTGTGCCAACGCTTTTTCCAATCCTCAAAGCATTTCAAAAAATCATTTTTTGTGATCTTGTTTAGTTCATCCTTCGATGCCGTCTTTATCTCCTCAATCGTGGCAAAACGCCGTCCTTTCATGGGCCTCTTCAGTTTTGGGAACAAGAAGAAGTCACAGGGGGCCAGATCTGGGGAATACGGTGCCTGTGGCATCGTTACTGTATTGGTTTTAGCCAAAAATTCGCGCACAAGCAACGATGTGTGAGCAGGGGCGTTATCATGGTGCAAAAGCCAATTTTTATTTTTCCACAAATTCGGACGTTTCTGACGGATTGCTTCGCGCAAATTGCAACATTTGATTCCATTTTTCACACAAAATTTAATGCAAACTCTTTGATCCATGTTTTTAGACAGCAGCAAATCGTGGAGCACGCAAAACACTTCTAACCTTGATGCCTCTCACAAACAAACCAAACATACTACAAAGCTGAAATTTGGAACGTATGTTCTAGACGAGTGTACCGACATAACCAAATAAAAAAGTCGAAGATCGAACGGACGTAGCCCGCTAAATTTCAAAATTCACCTTACTTTTTGATCACACCTCGTATGCTTGTTCATCTTCCCTTTGAGCTTTGGGAGTTTCTGTATTAATTTGTACTTTATATACAAAGTCTGGATTTATTGTTGAATTTTCTTTCGCTTTTCGTTTTGGTCCTTTCCTTATTTCTGGTGGACATTTATCTATATCACTGTGATTCGAAGCGTTTTTCCTTTTTCTCCCTCTTTTGATCTTTTCTTCCGATTCTTTTTCATTGTTCTTCTCGTTCAACTCTGAATTAGTTGACTCTTTGACATCACTTACTTCTGTATTTTCTTCTCTGACCTCTTCAAATTTTAGATCTGTAGGTTTGGTTTCTTTCTTGCCCATTACTTCTTTATAAGTTAATTTTTCATTAAACTTCACATGTCTGGAGTTGATGAATCTCTGTGTTTGCGGATGCCATAGAAGGGGTCCTGTAGGTGTGTGTCCTACCAGAATCGTCTTAATTGCTCTCTCTGAAAACTTAGTTTCTGGATTTGGAATTTTTACGTATGCGATACAACCAAATCTTTTTAGTGCATCTATATGACTCTTCCTGTTTGGATTGAGTATCGATAACGGAGTTCTGAAGTTGTTGGCTTTGTGTGGTGTTCTGTTATACGTGTGAACTGCTGATTCTACAGCAAGAACCTACATGGTTGAAGGTATTCCTGAGTCAATCAGTATTGCTCTTATCAGTCTCTGAATTGTCTTATTGAATCTTACTGCAGTTCCGTTCAGCTCTGGAGTGTATGGAGGTGCGAATTCTCCTGTGATGTTTTCATTCTTCATTATTTCTGCGAATTCGTCACCTGTAAACTCTGTTCTGTTATCTGTTTTTATGAAGCAAACTTTTTCATTCCGTCCAAGTTCATTTCTGACATGTTCAAGGTAGCCTTTTAAGCATTTACCTGATTCATGTTTAGTCTTTGTACTGTATGCCTTTGCATATCTGGTGTAATCATCTACAAATACGATAATGTAGAGATTCTGCCCTGGAAATGAGGGCGGTGAAATCTTTCCCATCGTATCTACGTGTATAGTGTGTAGAGGCCTGTCAGCACGTGATCGATCATTTTTGAAGGGAAGTTTCTCCATTTTGGCCAAGATACACGATTCACAGTCTTTTACTTCTTTATTGAACTTTACATTTTTTAGTGCTTCTTCATTTTTCTTCAGGTGATGCATATACTCTAATGAGATGTGGCCTAATCGTCTGTGCCAGAGCATGCCATCATTTGATTTCTGGGCTGGAATCCCTGTATTCATGTTTGATGAACTGAGTAGTTTTTCTAATTCAGTTTCTCAAACTTCTTGATTCAGGTCCAATATTTTCCTCTTTAGTTCGTTATTTTCTTCCATTTTTTCTTCTAAATTTACTTGGTTTCTCTGCGGATTTTTCTCTATCTTCTCCCTCCCAATCTCTGACTGATCCTCGTTCTCGCTTGGCTCTGCGTAACAGTCAGTTTGAGATTGCGACAAAAAATCCGCCAAAGTCACCAAGGAAGCCTTAATTGTGTAATTTTCGCAATTATACTCTGAATTTTCCGATTCTTTCACGTCTAAACTAACTATCTAATTGGGAATTCGTAAAACCCTGTTAAATGGACTTCATTTGTCTCTTTATTATATATTGTTAATTCTGAATCGTTTAGGTTGATATCATAACCTGCTTCAGCGAACTTTCTTAATGACAACAAATTGTCTGAAGCATCTGTTGCTATCAGTACATTTGACAAATAAATGTCATTGCCTTGTAGTATCGATTTTAGATACAGATTCCCTTTGCCATCTATCTTAATGTTCGCTTCTTTATTTTTATTGGCGCTCTGAATTTCTCCTAAATTACTCTTTCTAAAGTTTTTCAATAATAATCCCGAATTTATTATATGATGTGTAGCCCCGGAATCTGCTATAAATTTAATATTGTTATCTAAATCAATTTTATTTGTTACTTTACCTTGTCCGAGTCTTGCTTGTGGGTTGTCCCCTGTTTTGTTTTTATTTGTGAACACTCTCGTGTAGGGGGTCGTATTTTTGCGGCTGTTACTACCTCGTCTAGGTGCTCCCCTTCCTCTACTTCTACCTCTACCTCTATTGTATGTGTTTTTGTCGTGTGTAGTGTTATTTTTATTGTCATCGTTTTTAACATACCTCTGAATTGCATTCGGGCAATTTTTGCCTTCGTGTTCCCTTAGCGCATTGCAGGTGTAGCAGAACCACAATCCGTGGAACCGCATTGGGCACTCCTTGCGCATGTGGCCTGGTGCATTGCAGCGGTAGCATTTGTTGGTTGCAGCATCTGCGTCAACTTGTTCTCTGTTAGCTTGCCTCTGAAGTTCAGCTTGACTTGCCCTTGGTTGACGGTTGTCATTTTGTTGCAGTTCGATCTGCAACAGACATTTTTTCATGTCATCAATCGTCATAAGGGAGTCAGTTGGGCATCTTACCAGGTATGCCGATGCAAGTTCTTTGCATGTGTTGGCAACAGCCTGGTAAAATACCGCTCTCTTTTCTTCTTCTGAAATAGGAGATAGTGGATTGCATGTTTCGTGTTTTGAGATTAATGAATCAAACCTGTCTATAAAGTCTGTGTATTTTTCTTTATTTGTCAGTCTTAAATTATAGATTTGTTGTCGAATCAACATTTCTGAAGTATTTGTTTCAATCCTCTTAATATCCTTTATTTTATTTAAAATATCAACTGGCTCTGAAATGTTTAAGATTTTCTTATGGTAGTTGACGTCCAGATATCTCTTATTATGCTTTTTTTGTTTATATCTCTTATTATGCTTTTTTTGTTTACTACAGCCTCTGAATTGTCATTTCTGTATTGTTCTGAATTTGTTATATAATCTATTAAGCCATTTGTCGCCAACTCTAATTTAAGCCTGTCATACCAAAGGTCTAGACTGCCTTTGTTGGTTAATAAATATTCTCTCTTTACATGAATCTTTGAAACGTTCAAAGTATTCTGTATGGAGTTATTGAAGTTGCTCTGAATTGTCAGTTGTTTGTTGATATTTTCAACTGTTATGTTAAGTTGTATTACTGTTTGAGTGTTGTCTGAAGTTTGACCTTCTGAATTAATTTGTATATCGTCGTTTGTGTCGTTCTGTATGTTTTGTGAGGGTGTGACTGAGGTAGAGTTAAGTAGAATTGGTGCAGAATCTGGTACCTCCGAAACTCGTGCAGATAGTGTGCGAATCTCTGCAAGGCACGTTTTAACCAGGCTTATGGTCTCTTACTGTGTTGCTACTGCCTCTTGCCGCTGTTGGTTCATGCGGTCGATGAAGGTGTTTAGGCGTTCTAGCACATCTAGAAGCCTGTCTGGATTGCTTGGACGTGGTGCTTCTGAAATGTTAATTTTACTAAAAAAATTCTCTTCAGTTTTATCGTTGTACAAGTCTGTTCTGCGTTTTGAGGACAGACTCATACACGTGGATCCAGCTTCTGTTACATCTCTTTTTAGTATTATCTTATTATTCTGAATTGTCTTACCATCATTCATCTGAATATCCTCTGAATTTGGTGTTAACACCTGTTGCGATGCGTTGCTGCCACTTTCACCCGCAGATGTTCCTGCCTGCTGCTCTATGGGTGTTAGAGGTGGAGGTGGTGGCAGTTGTTTTGGTTCGCCCGAGGCGTTGGTGTTGTCGCCCACAGGAAATACTTCACGTGTCTTTGACATTCTTTAATAAGATAA